AAAAAAAAAGGAATTTGTACCCATGTCCTCAAAGGTATTTACTGTATATATTGTGATAGCATGTTCTGGACCCAACAAATAAGTGATGTGAATTTTAGATGTAAATATCCCCTGTTTGGTTTGTTTGGGTTTTCTTTTTCTTTCCCTCTCCTCTTCACTCTACTGCTGTGATGTGGAATTAAAGATGATAACCTGATATTGATCCTGTGAGTAGAGAGACATTCATTGGGATTTGACTAAAACATCCTCCAAGGCCTTTCTGGTGCTGTACATGAGTTATTCCAGACATTCTCACTGTACTTGAATAACCCTTCCTGCCACAAAATATAGGAAAGCCCTTCACACAGTTCTGACTTCAAGCAAAGAAGGAGCAGTTTTAGCTCCCCAAAGTGGAAATCCACTGAGTATGCTAAGACCCTGAAGACCCACTAACCAGGAGTTTTTATCCGTGGGCCATGAATAGATCTCAGGGTCACATGAACTTGAATGAGAAAAAAATTACATCTTTATTTTCACTAACCTCTCAAATTTAGTATTTCCTTCAATTATTTTAAAACATTATTCTAACAAAGGGATCAGTCCATATGCTTCGGCAGATTGCCAAAAGGACTCATGTCACCAAAAAAAAAAAAAAAAAAGTTCAGAAACTCCTGCAAAAATCAGAGGACTGGGATGCTCTGTGTTCTTTCCATCCAACCTGGCCTGGCATAAGCTTTGAAGAAGGCCTTCTCTGAACAAGTAGACTGTCTCTCCTTCCTGGGTGCTATTCTAAAAACTTCTCATAGTCTCTAAAGCTGCCCGTCTAACCAACTTGAGCCTGAGGCATTTAGGAAATAAAGGGAGAAAAATGACCTGTGTCCTTGTTCCCCTCCCTAGTCATGGCCAGAGATAGGGCTGAAACTACATAAAGATACTCTTTCTCCCTCTCTATCCTCCCCAGTGTAGTAGACATGTTCGTCAACACCTAGGTTTAGGCATCTTAACCATGGGCTGATGTCGTTCAGTTATTACAAGCTCTTTATAACCTGATCCCATAACACTGAGCCAGGAATCATTTGTAGCTTCCATTCTTCAAAGATTGAAAAGCAGAGGAAGATCAAACACTCTGCTCTTTGTCCATCAAGGGTTCAATTTCTAGTCAACATAGTAATGTTTGAGGCAGTTTGGTGTAGTGGAAAGAACACCCGCCTTGGAGTTAGAAGACCTGAGTTTAAATCCAAGCACCAACCATCAGTCAACAAGCATGTATCACTGCCTACTAATTGCCAGGTGCTGTTCTAAGCACAAAGAAAGGCAAAAATAGTCCCTAACTTTCAAGGAGCTCATTTTCCAGTATGGGAGACAACAAGCAAACAAGATAGATGAGTACATGTACATATGTATGGTAAATTTTAAGTAATCTCAGAGGGAAGGAGCTAGCATTAAGGAGGACCAATAATGGTTTCTTGCTCAAGATAGGATTTCAGCTTAGACTTGAAGGAAGCCAGGAAAGTGAAGAGCATTTCAGGCATGGGGGAAAGCCAGTGAAAATGTACAGTCAGGAGATTAAATGTCTTATGTAAGGAATAGCAAGGATGCTGTTGTCACTGGATCAATAAATACATAAGGAGAAGTGACGTGTAAGAAAAATGGAAGGGAAGAAGAGATCAGGTTATAAAGATCTTTAAAAGCCAAACAGGATTTCATACTTGATCCTGAAGGCAATAGGGAGCCACTGGAGTTCCTTAAATTGGGGGGGGGGGGGTCCAGGGAGAGAGGTAGTGACATGGCCAGACTACTTTTTAGAAATATCAGTTTAGAGGCAGCTATTTGGCACAGTGGACAGACCACCAGCCCTGAAGTCAGGAGGACCTGAGTTCAAATCCAGCCTCAGACCAAATACTTGACACTTACTAGCTGTGTGACCCTGGGCAAGTCACTTAACCCCAATTGCCTAAAAAAAAGAAAGAAAGAAAGAAATATCAATTTGGCAGCAGAGTAGTGGATGGACTGGAATGGAAAGAGAC